ATATTTTAAGACAATGTTCTTAGTATCAAGAGAGCCAGCATTCAATTCCTCAAAAACAAAATCCAAATCATCAATTTTGAAAAGCTATATGCATTATATGGATATTTTATGGAGCTCACATATAAAAATGTGAATGCTTTTCTTCGTCTCCTCCTGTCTGAAAGTCTTAGAAACTGAGGTTAGAGCTGAAGAGCACATTAAATAGTGATTAAACATCATGATCGACGCTCAATAATTGTGTTTTTTCAGTAATCGTGGTGAATTTTACATTTTAGCCTCACAGGAGCTGTGCTAACAAGCTTTTTTAGTTCCTCTTACCTTATGCAAGAAAGCATATTGTCAATGCGAACATTTATTCACCTTGCGTGAAAAAAATTTCTGAAATATTGATTTAACTTTTATTTTAACAAAGTTTTCTCAAAAAGAAACAAAGATACTATTTTAGTTGTAAAGTATATTCTGTTTTTCTAGATTTTTCTACTTATCTCGACAAATAATACCGTGTACCTTTTATATTCATCACGACAACGTTGCACAATTTCTCAAGATGATAACAGAAATTAAAAAGAAAGAAAATTTTGATATATTTGTTTTGATTTATGACATTCGTACGAATACACATTATATAATACCAAGAAATGAAATAATAACGTTAAAAAAATTCAATCGTTGGAACCTGATAGTATTTGAGCTAGGTGTGACGATGAAAATATAGAATTAATACTTCTACTATAATCTCGATCTCATCTCGATAAAGAACCATCATCTAGAAAATGAGAACTTTTTTAATTAGAATATGATTTTTTTTTTCTTAGTTTCAACTACTGCTTTTTTGTCAAAGTCTAATTGTAGTGGCATCGATTTGCACCTTTCTTCTTCTCATATATCTATGTTCATGTACTGATATACTATTAAGAATAATCGATAATTAAAACTTAATTATTCCATCAAACGGTTCTTTGATTATTATTGCTTTTCGTCATATTTTATTTATCTATTAGTTTGGTATCCGAATTCAAAAATAGAATACAAGAATAGATTACGTAGTTAGAAACATAAAGAACACTTTCCTCTATGACGATTGCAAAAATTTTCTTTCTTTTATTAAAATAATATGACAAGGTTTAAAGAGCAACATACATGACGTTGGTTGTTTTCTTTTCTCTTTTATCTTATCAGTTTCAATTCTACACGTACTTTAACAATTTTTGTTGTGCATTAACTTTCATTTGTCGATTCGGAAAGACGCTGGTAAGTGCATTTTGTGTTTAAGTGAAATTAGGATTCTCACTCGTAATTTTAAAGTATTTTAATTAATAATTCGATAAAATTGACTTGAAAAAGGCAATGTGAAATTCATAAATCTTGTGAACAAAGCCTTAAACATTTATTGTCATTATTTTTGTCAAAGGTAATGACGTATCAAAACATAGAATTGAAACTAAACCGACGGTTTTAGCTTTTGAAAATTTTATGTAATCTATTTCTAATTATTACTTTGTACGACTAAACAGTTTGGTTTAGTTGTTTTTGAAGATAGAAAGAATCTTCTATCGTTGCTCTTTTTCCATTTATTGATTCCTAGTCGGCTCTCTGACTGTTTTAAAATCTGACAAGTATTCGTACTATTTAGATCCACTAGAACGCCATGGAACAAGAAGAAAGCACTAGATGCCGTTTCGATAGCCATCATCAACAGCAACAACTCGATGTAGGGTTGTCAACACCATGCCATCGACTGCCCACCTTATCCGAGATTAAAATCAAAATACCTAGCCACTGTTTTCGTTCCAATATGCTCAGATCAATGTTCTACGTTATTTTAGACATCTTCTTTATTATTGTTGCCTATACTTTCATGTTTCAATTGCAACACACACTGAATTACGGATTTTTATTCTTCCCTCTTTATTGGTATGTACAAGGTAAATTCAATTAGCGTATAGTTATTTTTTCGATATCTTAATATTTTTTTTTCTTGTACAAAAGGTACTCTATATATGTCATTCTTCTCTCTTGGACATGATTGTGCTCACGCCAGTTTCAACAACCATCCATTGCTCAACGTTACTATAGGTCAGTTCTTTACTTTCTTCTTTTTGACGTTATGAGAGGTAATATTCTTATCTTGTTCAGGTACTTTGGTATTTACATGGATATTGATTCCGTACTATCCCTGGAAGGTGAATTGATAATCACATGTTATTATTCTATACTCTAACGATGTTTCTTTAGATAACTCATAAAAATCATCACAAAAATACAAACAATATGGACAAGGACGAAGCATTCTATCCACTACGCGGCGAAACATACAAAGAGAGTCGTATGACTAATATCATTCTATGGGTACCTGGGCTTGTATGGTTTTATTATCTTATTTGTGGCTATTCGCCACGATTTGTCAGTCATTTTAATCCGGTAATTGTCCATTTTCTTGATGTTGAAAAGAATATATATCATTATGTCATTTATTTCCGATCTCAAGTTTGAATTAATCTTCGATAAACAGAAGATCAAAATCAGTATTTCGCTCTGTATATATTCAGCAATGGTAAATAATTAAACAATTGAAAATTTTTCTTATTGTGAATTATAGTTATATTTAATGTTCATTTATACAACTCATATGGGTATCATCAGTTTGATCGTTTATCATCTCATACCAGTACTTGTCTTTGCAACTTATCTAGTCATTGTTACACTACTGCACCATACTGAAATGTATGAAAAGGAGATGACACATTTACTCTTTTCATGATACTCTTGTGTGATTTTAGGGATGTTCCATGGTTTGACAACAGCGAATGGAATCATGTCAAAGGACAATTATCGACCGTCGATCGGCATTATGGTCATGTTCATTCAATCATTCATTCGATTGGCACACATCAGATTCATCATCTTTTCCCTAAAATTCCTCACTATCATTTGGGTACATACATCGTCTTAATGCTATTATTTTTGTTTCTTTATATTTCTTTTTATTTATAGAGGAAGCTACCACTCACTTTCGTAAAGCCTTTCCAAATCTCGTTCGTGTCAACCACGATCGAATATTGCCATCATTTGTGCGCATGAGCAAAAAATTTGTTCTACAACGTTGTATTGGAAATGATATATCTGTATTTACATACAGTAATGATCAACATGACAGTTAGATTGATAATTATTGTCATTCATGTATCAAGTTTTGATTTTTCTTTTTATGTACCTTTTTTTGTTATACCAAGCAGATTTTACATTATTGTCTGTTTGATTTTATTCACTATGAAATATTAAAAATAATTAATCAGACCGAACCGACATTAGAAAATCAATTATTATTTTTATCTCTGGCGAATTATTTAGATTATTCCAATTATAGTTTAGATCATATCCTACTTATGTTTACTTTTGATATCTAATACATTGTATGATACAAACTACGGTCAAAGTAAATGTATAAAAATGATCGATGAGAGACAAATTTCAGCAGAAAAATACACTGTTTATCTGCTATGATTTCATAAACCAATTCTAACATAAAGACCGTTTCTCAGAACTCATGGTACATCTCGAGATCGATCTCAACAAAATGTATCTGTTAATATGTTGTTTCAATATATAGAACATCAAAAAGTAGTCCAACTAGTAATAATGAACAAGATCATTAAGGATTATTTAAGAATGTTTTTGAGGTCGATTTTTGGTTTCTTGTCAGTATAAGTTGTAAAGAAGAAAGCAGCAATATAAATGATGGTAATATTATTTATCACCTGTCATCGTATTTTTGAGCATTTACAGAGTCGTTTATCTGACCTAAATTGCTTATAAATATATTTTTACTTTGCACTTATTAATACTTCAGAATACGAATCCTGCATACGTATTCAAAGTACGAGGCAAATTCTTCTACGATTAAAATTTGTTTTGTCATATTGATGTATACATAATAAATGTCGTCCTTATCAACACTGTGTCATCATTACCTGTGTTGCACTTATATCACTATTGCCTTTCTTCTTGTGTATCAAAGTTCTATTTATTACATACATTTTCAAGTCACATAAAAATACCTAAAAAAAATTATTTTAAAATAGATCGTGTGCGTGGGTGTGCGAAAAATAAGTACACCCCCCCCCCCTTAGAGCCCATGGGATTGGAGTGTACTCAAGTTTTAAAAAACAGAGAATAGATTTTAATAAAGATATTTTTGTACATTTTACATACATACCGAGTTTATCAAATTTCGAGCAGAATTTCACTCACTATGGAAGGAGATATTCGAAGACAGTCCTCAATGACATTTCAGTTATTTTCGCATATAAATTAACAGATAATTTCGTTTCATATACATTACAGACGGATTTGACTCACCGATGAGTATTGTAATTATTTTGTAGTTTATCGTATATATATTTTCTATTTTTGAATTTTTGTTTGTAATAAAGACATAATAGTAGTTATTCTCATGAGTTGAGCATTCCACACTTACCTACACTTTTGAAATATCACATTAAGTTAGATAAATAAAGGATAATAATTGAGCCAATAAGAATAAACAAGACATACTGGAGGATAGAAGAGTTATTATTGGACGAGAGTAGACAATAGACAATGAACATATAAAGAGATATAAATAGAACCAGAATTGGCATAGATAAACATTGTCTGAAGAGAATATTCGAAACGCGCCACATTTATGGTATTGTATTAAATTCATTTATTTATTTATCTACACTTACTTACTTCTTTCTTATTTCATTCATATCTTAAACTTTATTTTTCTTAAATACAAAAAGCAGTAGTAAAAATTTTTGAGAAATTAAAAAATATTACTTATCTATTATTATTTATTTATTTTTATTGATTCGCCAAATATTTAATCCACTTCCACATCCCTTCAATATTATGAAAATAAATACGATTGTTTTTTTTTAGAGAGGAGTGCTCCATTCAATATGCTAAATTAAAAGAGCAGATTGAAGAGCGTATCAACAAACATTATCAATGGGAGAAAGCTGCACGTTATTTGTACAATTCGGGTAATATTTCTATAGCACCTCATATTTTTATGTAATTTTTTTTTCTCAATTTAGAAAAAAAAGTTGACGTCATTAGACGAATTGAGTGCTCGACCAGGATCAGACAAGAGAAGCTGTCAACAGCTATTAAGAACGTGTAACTATTTTCATTGGATGATAGTATATAAGCGACGTAAGAATATTACTCATTGAGAAATATATAGAATTGATTATTTTTGTTTTTAGATAATACTTATTGAACGCCATACGACACAACCATCATTTTAACTGAACGAGACTTTAAAGATGGAACTCTTGAATGCAAAAACGTCACCAATGAACCAGCAGTTTATGCAGTAACCATATGTATACCTGACTGGCTTTATGCTTCCATGAAGGCAGATCCAGAACTTTGCAATTTACAAGTTTTGAAAACTGCTTCGTTCGATGACATGGGATTAGTTCATATTCGTGGCAAAATTGGTGAAACCTACGGCTTTCAACATCGTGTTCGGAAGTACAATAGTAATGATGAATCGAGTATGACAAATAATATATTATTTATACTATAATAATGTAATTTTCGTTTATTATAGGTGGACTAGGGTCGGTATTTTGCTACTTAAGAAAAGAAGCAAAGGAATCGAACACTGAATTCACCGATTGGGTGAAAGTATGGCCAATTTTATCTGGTGAATATCTACAGGTGAGTCAAATAATTGTTCACTAATTTAATTTTACTCTTCTTATTTAGGATACCAAAGAACGTATTAAAATGGAGACACGGTGCTCATTTTTACTTGGAAGAGACGGTAACAGTGGTTGTAATTACCTATGAGCAAAGGGGTAAGTTTTTTTGTAGTTTAGTAATAAATAGTTATTATAGATTCTTCTTTTAGCTGCTACAAGATTCCAAAATGATTCACCCGAAGCAATAGCTGCAATTGACGATTTCGTTAAACGAATGAATCTGAAGAAAAAATCCGGTTACGTAAAACCGAAAACAAGCCCGTATGGATGGCGAGCAACTTGTCCTGAATGTAAAGAAGTTTATTGTGTCACAAAAGTAAATAAAAAAAAACAGATCATTTGGTTCCACCACGGTGCAAGAACGTAAAGAAACATGCAAACGAACGGATCATTTGGACAAAAGCAGACAATCCTGTAATACGAAAATATATAAAGCAGTGACGATAATGCTTTGCTTTTTTTATAATTTTTTTTCACACAGAATAAATACATAAAATAATATATTTAATTTTTCTTTCAACAAAGATCACGAGAATATTTGTATTTGCTCTATCTTTCTCTTAACAGTATCTATATGCTTCATTTCTTTGAGTGTAACTGTGATCTAAGAGAAAAGACACCCACACCCCGAAAATGGTTTTCCGTTTGAATTTATAGAATATTTTCAGAATATTACACAATCTAGGGCTTTATGAAATCTTAAAAATACCGAAAAATCGGAAGGCACAACTTAATGCAATAAGTTAACCTCTGATTTGCAAATAAACGTCACACACAGACTATATTAGATAAATTCATTGGTTAATTAAAACTATCAATGACATTATGATTGACTTGTTTAACTTCTGTAGAAATATAATTAATTTGAATGATTTCATGTTCGATTAATTTGTTTAATAATTTTTTATTTCTTGTCATTTGTAATGCATTAAAAAAATTGATATTTTTTGAATTGATACAAGATAAATCAGATCCCACTTTGATTAGAAATTCAATTAAACGATGTCGACAACCAGATACATGAAGACATAGATAAAGTATTGGATCATTTCCATCTTGATCTAATTGATGAATAAGTAGTGGTGATAATTTTAATAAATATTTAATAATTTTCATTTGTTTCTTTTTTAATAAAATAAATAATAAATCTTTATTTATAAACCATATTCTTAATTGTTCATCATTCAATAATATTTGAAATAAATGTTTTTTTTCTCGATTTTTAATCATTATATTGACAATTTCTTCACATGTTTCTAATCTATAAAATAAATATTGAATATTTCGACTTTCTTTATAAATCAATTGAATAATATCCAATTGTTCCGTATGAAATAAATTGTATAGAATTGTTAAAAATGAATCATATTGTTCACATGTTGTTTTATCATATTGATTGTATTTGTGAAGTAGAATTTTTAATATTTCTATTTGACTTGTTCGAATAAATATTTCTTCAAAAGTAGAAGGTACAATTAACATAGTTTTATCTAAGATTTCAAAAAGACAATGTTCCAAAACAAATTCTTCATTAAATAGATGATCTACGATAGAAAGAAATAGATTTATTTCAGCTTTATACCAATGAATTTTTAAAGAATGATTTGGTTCATAACGATCATCAGGAAAATATTTTAATTGATATATTGAATATATAAGAAAATAAAATGGAGAATTTATTTTCTCATAAGTAGTTTCATAAGATTTGATTTTAAAAAGTGATAAATTAGAAATAAATATTGATTTAAACATTTGAATAAATGAATTAAGAAATTGTTGATTATCATCTTGAGTAAAATTCATTTTCGAAATAAACCATTTATTTATTATCATACCAAAATTAAACTCATCATATTGAAAACTTGCACCTTGAGTTAAAATAAGTGATTCAATTTGTTTAATACTCTTAATCGATTGAGAAAAAAATTCTTTTGGTTTTGATATTCGATATGAATCGAAATCAATTGGTAACGAAGAGAATGTTCTGTTCAATTCATTATCAAGATTATTAATTTCATTATCAGTAAGATGTAATCGTTGAAATTGAAATTTTTTTAAATTGAATTGAAATTCTTCATTCAATTGTTTGTATTTTTCTTTAATATAAAAAGAAATTAATAATTGAAGAAATTCTTTCATTGTTTGTTTCGCTTTTAAACATAAAAATTGATGAGATATTTCATAGAATAAATTAGAATTATAAAATAAATTAATATCTGGATCATTTCTATTCATATGTAAAAGATCAGCAAATACATGTAAACGTTTATCAATAACAATTGAAATTAAACGTTGATTTAATCCAAAAAATGATTTACATATAGAATAAGCATCACCACAATATCTTATAATAATCAATAAAATTTCATCCGGTAAGATTTCAAATGTTGATATCGATGACATCAGATTGTGTTGTTAATTCAGATATTTAAAAAAAACTTATTCACGATATATATATATATATATATATTATATTTTTTCTGTCCTTTATATCGACTTAGAACATGTGTACGAAGAAGAACAGAAAAAAAAACTTACTCAATTTACGGTATGAATCACAACGAAATGCGTCACTATTACAATCTTACATAAGTTTCGAGAAATAAAAATGTTTTTTTCTCAAAGCCTACGAGGTTTCTTTCAAAGATTTTTGTAACGTCGATATATTGAAAAGTCAATAGTTTTTTAGAACAAAATATCAATTATATGAAGTAAATTACTTCAAGTAATTTTCAAAATTGGAGGGGAACATCTTAGGACGTTCCTTCACAAGTCAATATAAAATGTATACAAATCTCGCATCTTGTGACCAGAATTTTAACAATCGTTAGAATATGCAAACACACGAAAATAATCCAAAAACTGAATAAGAAAGCCATGGACAACGACAAATAATATCTGTTTAAATATTCTCTTTCTTTAAGAGAAGAATCCAGTAAACATAAATTGTTTGCTTGTGTGTCCGCAGGGTCAAAAAAACATCGAAGACCAATTTGAGTCCTCGGACGAGCGTTACTTGTGTTATTACCTGTACCGTGATCAATGGTTGAGAAGTGTTGCAGTGAATAGAAAATCAAATAGTGTAATTATTCGAATGATAAATTATTCAACATTTCAATCGTTAAAATCAGTTTATATTGATGATTGGATTTTTTCTTGATCAGTACCTATACCGGCTTAAACAGTCAGACGGAACCGGACCTAACCGGCATAATTTTTCATACTATCTTATCATTCAATATATATTAAAGCATTAAATCTGCTCTTACTGTTTTTTCTACAATTGGACAAGCCAAATTTTTGAGGGTGTGAATGTGAATATTAGCTGATCATAACACCTTCACACCCACACCTTAATTGTTGTATTTTATAACATAAAGACAGTTTCTCAGAGAGTGCGGTATGTTTCGAGATCAATCTTAACGAAATGTATCTGCTAATATGTTGTTTCGATATATAGATTTTGGGTTCTTTTGAAAATAAGTTGTAAAGAAGAAAACAGCAATACAAATCTTGAGGGTGATATTATTTATCCTCTGTCATCGTATTTTCGAACATTTACAGAGTCGTTTATGTGATCTAAATTGTTTATAAATATACTTTTGCTTTGCACTTATTGATACTTCAAAATAAAAAATCTTGTACACGTATATAAATTACAAGGCAAATTCTTCTGGGATTAAAATTTGTTTTGTCATATTGATGTATACATAATGACTGTCATCCTTATCAACACTGTGTCATCATTACCTGTGTTGCACTTATATGACTATTATCATTCTTCTTCTATATCAAGGTTCTATACATCACATACATTTTCAAGTCATAAATAGCTGAAGAAATTATTTTAAAATGGATATTTCTAGAACAAGTTTCTATATATTTGTGTCCTTATATATTCCTGTTCTGCTTCTTCGACGTACTGATGTCGTTTGTAATGGTAATCCATTCGACATTGTTTATTCATTGGAAGATCAGTGAGTTTAGCTTTCTTAAAAGAGTAGCATACATTTATTTCTTTAGGTTTCATTGTGTAGTTTACTATATATGTAAGTACTACGTACTATCTATATAAGTATTAATAGTTGATGCATTTTATAATGCGAGAGCGTATAAGTATGCCTTTTCCTCGCTGAAATATCCCGATCATATACTCATATATTTATCGAGAAATCTTTCATGTTTCCATTTTATAGTCCTACACGAATTGTAGATATCTTGAATTAAGTGTAAAATATTTTCAAATTTTAATTAATTTAAATGAGTGATAATGTTGCTAACGAAAAACTTGAAAAGAAATCCCTTGGGATGGAACCATCATCTCATGTACTTCCAATAACTGAATCATACATTGTTTATTTCTTTGTAGATTTAATTATAGAAGTAATTTCGATAACGTTGAAAGAGCGTTAGTGAAAGAATATATTTTCTGTTTATCATCATGACTCAAATCGATCAAATAACGACCTATAATTCATTCGAACAAACTCTGAATCAAGCTACCTGGTCAATGAATTTATTCTCCGATGATTCTCATGATCAAATGTTTGATCAACAAAATTCAATAGTCTTCCCACATTTATATCAATTACCTCATATTAATGAAGTCACATCTGTTTACAACAACATAAACACCTCAGTAAAGTCAACACAAGATGTATCTTCAATGTCTGCTTCTCTAGATCCAACTGATTGGTCAGCAGCACGTGCAGAAGCTCATAAGATGTTAGATGTCTCATTACATTTTCTGGAAAATGCTCGTGATCGACCTGCTTGGATACCTATACCAACTGACGTACGTCATCGTCTTTTACATGAAAATTTGCCAGAACATGGCAAACCTATTACAGAAGTATGTAAAGATATCGTCGATGATGTTTTACCGTATTCTGGTGGTAATACACATCCTCGATTTTGGGGTTGGGTTCATGGATCTGGTACTGTAGGAGGTGTTATCGCTGAAATGATGACGGCGTCAATGAATTCAAATGTGGGTTTATGTAGTCATAGTGGAGTACTTATTGAACGACAAGTAATTGAATGGATGCGACAATTATTCGAATTCCCATCAGAGACTGCTGGTGGTCTCATTGTCAGTGGAACATCAATGGCAGCAGTTATTTGTTTAGCTGTAGCTCGGTATAATGCTCTTAACAAAGTAAGACAAGAAGGATTAGTCAAATTATCTGTTCAATTAGTGGCTTATGCTTCAACACAAACACATGTGTGTATTGTCAAGGCTCTTGAACTTCTTGGTTTAGGCACTCAGGCATTGAGGCTAGTTCCTGTAGATGATCAATATCGAATGAATATTCAAGCACTCAAGAATATGATTGAAGAAGATCGTCAACAAGGTCTGATACCATTCTGTATAGTTGGAAATGCAGGTATGTGTAAAAGATGATTTGATATTAGACAATAGTTTAACTTCCAGTATAGTATGAAAATCTTTAACACTCAAAAATACTGTTTTTACAAATGGAATACAGTGATATTAGATTACGGCTAGATAAAATCAGAAATCTTTTGAGCCGTGATTACTTAAGTTGTGTATCTCTTAGGACTAGTACTTGCTTCCATAAATGACAAGTATCTCTGTACATTCATATATAATCGAAAAACATTGTCTCGTTATTATTGATATCTTAAAATAATCAATTAAATATTGATAGAATCTGATTGTTTTGAGAAGTGACGATTCGAACAATGTTTATGTAGAAAATAAGACGCATGAATATTTTTATTGTTGGACAAAAGAGATGAAGACATATACTGAATCGTATGTAACAGAGATTTTATTAAGGTTTTGAAACAGTTTCATATAAGTTTTAAGCCAACACCACCATCATCATTGTTATTACTCGATGTATCATTTAATATGTTTGAATCTATTCGTTGTAATGATGTAAAACTAAGTTCCAGATTGTATTCACTTTTTTATTTAAATATTTAATATAAATTTTGTGTACAGTATTTTATACAAAATGATATGAAAATTTTTAGACAGTTTAATTCATTATTTTGTTTTAATTAAAGGTACTGTAAGCACTGGTGCTTTCGACAATTTATCTGATTTAGCAACTGTAGCCAAAGAAAATAATATATGGTTTCATGTGGATGGAGCTTTCGGTAGTTTTGTTGCGCTTGATCCAACTCGTCGACATTTAATTCATGGATTATCAGAAGCTGATTCTTTAGCATTCGACTTTCACAAATGGTTACATGTGCCTTATGCAGCTGGATGTGTACTTCTACGTCAAATCTCTACACTACATGCTACTTTTTCATCACCACGAAACTATTTGGTAAGCACTAGACGAGGATTTGCTAGTGACAATCCTTGGTTTTGCGAAATGGGTATAGAACTTTCAAGACCATGCAGAGCTCTCAAAGTATGGTTTACTATTAAAGAACACGGAATAGTACGACTTGGTCAATCAATTGCTGCTAATTGTAATCAAGCAAATTATTTAGCGAATTTATTGAGTAAATACGATTTTATTCGAGTATTTACACCTGTTTCATTGAATATTGTCAATTTTCGTCTTGAACCTCATGAACTTAACGATGCCGATCCTGAAACTATTGATATATTTAATGATGAACTTGTCAATGATCTACAAGAACAAGGTATTGCAATTCCATCAACATCACGACTCAATGATCGTCTTCATATTCGAATTTGTATTACTAATCATCGTAGTACATTAGCAGATTTTGATTTATTCGTCAATGCTGTTATTCATTTCTGTCAAACACGAATTGCTTCAGGAAATAATCGAATAGATACTTGATTGCTCTTGAGAATGTTTATTTGTCTTTCGTTCATACTTATATTTTTAAAATAGATAAAAATAAAATTTTTATAATACTACATAGAATTATATATAATTTTTGAGTTTACAACACTTGCTCAAGTGGATGTGAATGAGAGATGAATGTGACAAGCACTCACATCCATACCCTCATGTTTTTTTTTAAGATTGATAAACACAACAAAACAATCTCTACAACAAGTGACTATGTATTTATTATATGTATCTGAAAAATATTCACTGGTCGATTCGATCTTTCGATATTAATAATCGTTCGCTTTCGATGACAATCGTCTCCACCATCTCTGCATGTGCTTGAACTTCGTTAGCATGTTTTGAACACATACTTTGATCGAGAAAATGCTTAATAATACCAGCAAAACGCATCGTTGCTTCATCATAACCGTACCGATATATCATGTATTTGAACATTATTTCAACATAAATATTTTGAATTTTTAATAAATGCTTTGTATTCGGAAGAAAACCAGTTTCTTCACGTGTGATGTTGTCTCCTAAAAATAATTAAAATGTAGTAAAAAGACATTAGCAAAACAATGCTCTCATAGAAATAATCGTTCGTATATCAAAAAAACTCTTCAAACTTCTTTTTAAATTAAACTATTTTTATAAACAAGAATATTATCCAACTTTTTGTACAATCATTGTAAATGAAGTATTTTCCTCAATTAGAAACTCTAAGCATCTATCATCATTTTGCAAATAATGATTTTATCAGTCAAATTGAATTCGAAAATGAAAATGAGTATTATTAGAAACTAAAACTATCTCTTTTTTTTGTAGAAACTCACGATCAACGTTCTTGATAACTGGAAAGACAACATCGGAACATGTTGAAAACATAACAATAGGTATCAATAATTTGAGTAATGTTAAATCCATAGGTGTTCGACCAATGACTTTAGTTACTTCATTGGTAAGTTGAGATCCATACTTAGAAAGAAAGCCATTTTGAAATACTTCACTAGAGCAAACGCCTGCCTCTCGAAATATGACGACACCACTATAACCACCGGTATTTAGAATATTTCTCTCCATGAGTGTGGCTTGACCACTAGGTGGCATAGCAGCGAACTCAGGTATTGCCTCAACAAATGAATAAACAGCGACGAATTGTGAACCAATGATGTCCATCATATTGGTTGCAGCTATTTTCAAACGTATCTTTGGTGGAAAAGATGACTGAATAGATAATATATTGCGAACATTGGCGACAGGAGATTTAGCATCATAAACATTCACAACATTCGATAAAAGAGACCATTGTTCAACTGTTAATAATGATCGATCATTGCGAAGTAAATTAAGTGTCGGAATGACGCCTAACGAGAAAATTATTCTATTTCTCGAGATATTAATTGAACTGATCTTTGTAGCTAACTGTTTATTATTCACTCGAAGGCGATTCTGAGGACCATGTGAAGCACGAATCAATTCTCTTTGCATTCCAACAGACAAACATTTTTTAAATCGACAATATCGACATATTTGTCGACTCTTAACAGTGACATCACAATGTCCATCGTATATACATTGATTCGTGTTCTACATAGAAAATCTATTGTAATTTTAGAAAAATTTAATTTTAACTTACGAGATCCATTTGAGCATTTCGTCGAAAGAATACTTTACATGGAGGACAACATAATACACTAAAGTTCATTCTAGCATTTTCGCTCTCACATACTTTACATAGTTGACTGTTTTTGAATGCTTGAACGACATCATAAGTACCAATATTCGTTGATGTGTCTTCACTAAACGCCATAATTTGCACAAAAACTAATCTAGAAAACGATTAGGTTTCTGTATTTTATATATAAATTATATAGAAAAAAAAGAATTTCTGAGAATCTGAATGTTATATGCAAGGCTTTCTGACATTTGAGCATAAGCAAAAAGAAATCGTTAATACAGGATCACCCGTCCTGAGTATTAGAAAAGCCTATAATCTATGATATGGTATATCCAAGTGAGTCAAATTTTGTTGTCTGTCATGAGATTGATTAATCCAATGAATAACAAAAATTCTTTGTTAAATTCATAGTTGAAAAAGTCATATATTCTACAGCATTTTGCGAATTTTAATTTTTAAAAACGTGGGAGATAATAATAGTTTTGGGAAAGTAAAAGATAAAAACCATTAGTATATTCAAAACTTATTATTAAGTGAGCATACAATATTTTCAGTTGGAAAGTATAATGTATATGTGAAGAGAACTTAGATGAGTAAATCCTTCAGAATATCTAAGTAGTTTTTCAGGTTCCTATTCAACAGACTATCTTTAAACGACTAGCACTTCGTATCAACGTAAAAATATATCTTACAGTTGAAATTATATTTTTAGAAAAGTCATGCGTAGTCTTTTTTTTTGTTTCCTTCTGTCAGAAGATGGTAAAATTCAATTAGAGCTTAAAGACATGAAAACGTTGACATAAATGTGAGAGACCTTACTTATTCAATTGCACTAATACAATTCATTTTCACGAGTCATTAACTGAAATTATTGTGTTATTAACATTTTTTTCAAACAGAATTACTCCATTTATCATTGAAGATATTCTTAAGAGAGGTAAAAAGAACATGTAATATTGCAAGAAAAAAAATGAGAATGTTCTACTTATTGAAGACTCGGATGACAGTTATGTCAAAGAAGAGAAAAAGAACTGAGTAGAAGAAAATCCATCACTATATTTCTGTTCTTCTATAGTGACAATTACACTAATGAATATATGACAAACTACAGATACATGGGATTATGAAGAAAACGTCGTCTTAATAGAAGCCAAAGACTAGAATTAAACCATTCCATGTTTCCAAGAGAATTATTTCAAAAATCATACCGAACAAAACAAAATTTAGAAGAAGAGTTAAAAATAGAATACATCAAATTTTGATACGAACAAATTCTACAATGGATTTCTTTTTTATTTTTGAAGTTGATGCCTTCTAGATTCCTTCGTAAATTTTTTTAATAGTATATTGAATAGTATTAAACCTCTGTAAGCACTCAAGGAAATTAATAGATTTTTTTTTCAAAATAATTTCATCATTAAAAATTAACGCAATTTGAGTGTTTAAGGCGAAGAAGGAAATTCATGCAATACCGGCCTATTTATTTTTATTCTAACTATCAATTTATTTTATTATTTTTGTCTTTCCTCTTTATGAATTTACTCTAACATGTCATTCAAAATAAAAAAACATGCGTTAAAACATAAAAGAAACACGTTACACATTTGTTTGTTCTTGTTACTAGAAGAATATCCTCCTGAATGATGTTTATTAATGCAAAATAATATTATTCAGGATATAAACATACCTCACATATTTCTTATACTGCTCTAATATAAAATAAATTTTTTACTCGTTATTAATAAACAATTTCTATAAGTATCACTGAAAAACAAGTGCATCGTATATTAATAGAACTAAAAAGTGTTCTTTTTACTCTACTAGTAATGTATCATAAAGAAAGTATTGTAAGGACAATAATTTGTTTTTTTGTTCTTGTTTACTTATCTAACAAGATACGTATTGTTACTAAAAATGATAGTAATAATCATTCTTCATTGTCAACTAGTATAGATTTTTATTTTTTAATGTACAAAATAAAAAGAAACTCACACTGTTGATATTCGAAGACATTATAATGAATGAATCAAATTTTTTTATTGAAGAAAGACCCTCTGGTGCACAAAATAATAAAAAATACTTAGAATCAATTTTTTTTCAACAGAACGGAATAAAAAATCTAATGGTGAGTATCGTCTAACCAATATAGACTGAGTTTTCATAGATGCCGTTTACTGTCAATGACTTCATATTAAACAGGTAATGAATCAGATTTTTATTAACAAAACATATCGTTCTTATTCCATTTTTATACTTCTTAATATCTTTAATACACACTCGTTTATTAGGAAAATAGTTGAATGTTTCATTTGTTTTTCGAAAAATGCAGGTATATATTCTATAAAAACCATTTTTATCTATTTCTTTAGGGTTTTAGGTACTGGTGGCATAGCATTTGGATTCATATTGATTATATATTTTGATAGTATTCTCTCTGTGAATGTTTTAAATAGAAATATGAACCAGCGTTTGTATAAATGATCACAACAGAACTGTAATCAATAGTATTTTGTTCGAATGAACTATGTTTCGTACCACCATCTTGAGTGTGGATGTGAGATAAGAGCAAGACCCACACCCACGAATATTTTCCGATGTTCCATTGTTGAGATCAGCGCGGTACAAAATTACCACTTTGAATGCATACGTCGAGAAGGCATGAAAAAAGGAAAAAATAAAGAAAGAAAACTAGCGAAGAACTATATAAATACTTTGCTTCACGTCGCATTAATTATTTTTTCCTTGTCATTATCAATGTCTACAGATATTCTTAAGCTCGCCAAACAATATTCACTCTATAGTGGTTGTATTCTATTTACTTTCGGATTTATTGGTAATATTCTCAATATTCTTGTTTTTACTCAACTAAGACTCTTTCGAGATAACCGAACTGCTTTCTATTTAACCGTTGAATCGATTAACAACTTTATTTATCAATTTCAAACTATTAGTGTAACAATTTTAACATTAACATATGGTGATGATGCAACACAACGATCTCTCGGCTGGTGCAAATTTAGATACATGTTATCACAGATACTTGTTCTCACTTCTTATTATACACTATGTCTTATTGCTATTGATCAATTCTTTTCAACAAATCATCAATTCCGTTTGAGACAAATGTGTACAATAAAATTAGCTCGATATATTACCTTTATATCGATTTGTATTTGGATAGCTCATGGTATTCTTTCTGGTTGTTTTTACGATATTCAAGGATCACTTGGATGTGTTATATCAAATCCAATATGGCAACAGTATATATCATCCTTTTTCTATCCAGTTTTAGGTGGTCTTTTACCTATTATAATTACATCATTATTTAGTTTATTAGCTTTTCACAATGTTCGCCGTATAGTTCGTCGACAAATACCAATTGCTCGTCGTCGATTAGATCAACAATTGACAGCAATGGTTCTTATACGTGCTGTCATCGCCGCTTGTTTCATGTCACCATTTACTATATATCGTATTTATATTACTAAGTTTCCCGTTTCACAAAATCAGTCTATGCAATATGCGATTGCACGATTAATTCAATCAGTCTTTCTCTCTTTAATCAATATACATTTTTCGGTAAAATCATTTTTTTTAAAATTTAATTCACATTTGTAATATATTTATTTTTCATAGGCAAGTTTCTATATTTTTCTAATATTATCATCACGTTTTCGTCGTCAAGTGAGATTTCTTTTGGTTAAGAAATGTTGGCAGCGATTGAAATACTTGTTTCACTTAAATAATAATCAAATTAATCCAGAAAATGCAGAAGCATTCCGTACAGATCTGGAACTTGCATAAAAATTGTTATCATACTTTATATACATTAATCATCCTAAGAGTGGGTCTGGATGTTATTTATGAATATTTACATATATTCAAGCACGAACATATCTACGCACAATAATGGACGTTTTTTTGACATTACAAAAATTAGCACGTTTGTTGTAAAAAGTACTTTAATAACAGGCAATGAGTCTATTGTCTATAATAATCTATGTTCTACTAATTAATTTATTTATTGCATGTTTTTTCTTTGAGCTAATTAATGATTCTCAGTAGTTGATAAAGAATTATGATAATAGAAAAGAAGAAAATGAAATTAGATGGCAATGTAAAATATAAGAGAGTTTATAATTCTATGTTCGCAATCTCTTTTTTATTTTTTAATCATAAAGTCAATTATCTTATACGCATAAACTCATTAATGGTAAATCATGAGAGAGTGGCAAAGCGTTTATATCTACTTAACTTAACGTACATTCATATAAAATAATTTTTTTTATTGTTTCAGATCTATATCAGTTAATATTTAAAAAAATAAAATTTTATTTCACAATTAGTCAAAATAATGTCAACTCAAGATATATTGATTTTTGCAACAAAACAAGTTAATATCTATTTTGGTTTGTCAATCATGATCTTAGGTGTTATTGGTGGAATATTTAATATTATAATTTTTACAACACTCAAAACATTTCGAGAAACAACTTGTGCATTTTATCTAACTGCTGTTTCAGTGGTTAATATCATTCAATTGGTAATAGCATTGTTTGTACGTATTCTAAGTGAAGGTTTTTCCACTGATATTAAAAGAACATCATGGGTTTGTAAAATACAAGTATATATGGCTGTATGGTGTCTTTTGGTATCAATGACATATGTATGTTTAGCAACAATTGATCAATTCTTATCCATGAGTCACTATAGACGTTTCAGTAATTTACGATTTGCTCAACGTTGTATATTTAATACTGGAATTTTTTGGGGTCTATATTGTATTTGTTTTCTCATTTATTACGATGCACCTTTAGGCATATGTATGATCATTAATTCAAATTTTGCAATGTATGTAACTCGTTTTCATTTTCCAATACTTTATGGAGTTCTACCTCTAACTACAATGATTACATTTTCTCTATTAGCTTTCTATAATGCGCGTACATTAATTAGTCGACAAATAAATATTGTACGTTTGAGTCGAGATCGACAATTGACAACAATGACACTTGTTCATGTTGTATTTGTTACAATCACTACATTACCTTCTATTATTTATTTTATTTATTCACTTAATCAAACTACTGATGATCCAGTACAAATAGCACGTAATAATCTTATCTATACTATCTTAGTTTTAATTCTTTATTCAAGTTTTGCTGTAAGTATTTTTATTTGTAAAAAAAATAGAAATCATGTTTATTTTTGAAATAATATAGGGTTCTTTCTATATCTATTCTTGTGTTTCACAACGATTTCGACAACAACTCATTTTCGTAATTTCAAATGTTTGTATAAAGCAATGCCAACAATGGATGAACAAACGAGGTAATAATCAAATTGTACCAAATACTGAAATAATCGGTGATATTCAACTTACAAGAATAAAAACAAGCAGAGACTCTATTGATGTTGTTTTCATGAAATGAATATCGAAGTGATGATCTTTATTATCGTGTGCACAAGAGTTGATTGTGGGAAATAAATATTTGTTATTGTTGTTATGTCCAGTAATATATTGCAATAAAAGTTACATCTTAGAAACTATTTTTCTTTTATTGTTGGTTCTACTGAATACTATTGTTAGATAGTTATATCTAATCTGTAGCAAATACGTGGAAAATAGAAAAAATTTCTGCGTGAATGCCTTGAATTAGTTATAATCATATAAAAAGCAATGTCATATTATAATAACAGGTACCTAATGATGTATTTTTAAAAAAACTTGCACTTTATATGTCTAATGAATCTATAAAAAACATTCGTGATAAGAATTGAATCGAATACATGTTCTCTTATTATCTTGGTTGTATAATTAATTTTTAATAATATTCATTCCAGCATCTAAACATAAATATTACTTCCTTCCTCTTGTGATAATATATTTTTTCTGAATTTATTTTAATTTTATTATTAATGCATCTTAAGGGTGTGAGTGTTAGTTAAGAGCAAGGCCCACACCCACCCTAATGAGTAAATGTTCGGGATAACATCAATATTTAAACTAATCAAATCATATAATATGCTACTCAAAATATAGATTGCATTAGAATTTCGACGATGTGTATGACGAGTGAAAATAATCATACGTAAGATTACTCTGATATTCAAGAATATCAGATATGTAGTCATTTCATAGCGTATAAACATTTATTGAATAATTTTCTGTCGAGGAGAGACGGACGATATATCCCAAATTCTTCAAATATATACCAAACCACACTCACATCCTTATGCTTGGTTCCATTTTATTTTTATGTGAAGATTATTTATTTATTAAAAGCGAATGTGAATGAACAATAAAGGCAAGACGAAATGATGAAACATACACACATCAAAGCAAATATATTGGGAGGATCAAGAAGCGAGCATGCAAGCAAGAAAGCTTGATCATATACAGATGACTCAAGAATTCCGATCATATGTATATGAATCAATAGAACGAGTAAATGAGCATGATATATTGTCTTCTATTTTGAAAAATAGTCAATGTTTAAAGTTAAATATATGCATAATAATGTCTTTTACGTTCGGTACAGTTATAATAAACGAACCACATTCTATGGATTCGCCAAAGTTGTTATATCCATCGGCGATAATTCTCTACTATAAATATAAAATTCATCGATTTCTCCTCGATAATTACCAATTTGAACTCCACCATGAACACAGCCAGTTCCTTTCAATGGCTGTCCAAGAGTGGCGGTCATTGGTGCACCAAATGCTGCATAGACAAACGCATCATTTTGTCCATACAAAATTCCATTAATATATAAACGTATTCCATTAAGTGGACTATAAGTTTCAACGATATGAACCCATTGACCAACTACAAGAACAGGTCCGGTAACCTGAACTGTACTATTTCCATTATATCCAAGTGCGAGTAACTGTCCTTGTGAACTTAAACCAATGAACGGAATACACCAACCAGTGCCGTTGGCATTGCTAGAGACATGTAGAATTATACCACCACTGGTAACGGAGAGTATAGGTCTTACCCACATTGCAAATGAAAATGGACTGTATGGTTGTCCTAATAAAACTAATCCTGTTATCTGAAAATAACTTGAAGTCGTATTAAATAAATAAGATTGTCCAACACGTCCACCATCACCACTCGTCAATCCAACTGCTACACCCGTAATTTGATTAGGCCCACTATCCGAAGCTGGATAACTTAGACAATCCATTGAATAGTATCCAACTAATGTTGCATCATCTAAAATTTCAGCTGATGTTTTTGCTCTGTTGAAAAGAATTTCCAATTGATCAATATAGCCATTGAAAAAGCCACCACTATTACCCGATGGATATGAGCCAATTGTCTGTATTCCAGATGTGATTAAACATGGTGGTGCTAGTGTATTTGTACCATCTAGTAAAATGAAAAAAGTACATGTGATATATTCTTAAATGGAATAATCAATATTCATATCTATTGTTGAAATATTTCAGAAATCTCGTTTTTACCAACCATATGGTTTCAAAGCGTTTCAGTCTACCATTTTCATGAATTGTGTAACTCGAGTTGAAATAAAAATGATAATTCTAGTACCTAAGACAATCTCAAAAATAATTGACATTTAAGTATGAAGAAAGTCAAACAGATAATTTTGTGGCATATTCATAACTTATAAGTCAAGTCAAGGGCTTTACTGACTGTAGGAGCTAAATGAGATACAGAGAACATATCTCTAAGTCAAGGTGGAATGGGCTGTATTGGATAATGACAGATTGTATACAGAGCTGAATGACAATTATAATAATTCTCAGCTTTAACTATGGCTGCCTATGATACAAATATTTTTCGACCTTTACTGAGGCAGTTATTCATTACCTACAACTCCATTGATATAAACAACTTGTGTTGTCGTTGCATAATCATATGTGAATGCTATATGTTGCCATTGATTCACTTGAAACGTAGTACCACCCCAAGTATCATCGGCATAAAAAGCACCGTAGTTTCTTCCATTTCTTAACATCATCCACATATACTGATATAGTTCTGAACTATGTGTTTGAGCATAGATAATCATATCAACATATGATGTTGTACTTATAAAGACTGCCAAAGGATAGATCCATGCTTCAACAGTCAAACTTGTGTTATAGAAATCCATATAATTAGCAATTGTCAGATACTGTGATTTATTTGAAAGGAGTCGTATAGCATATCCTCTTCCGTTGTATCCCGGAGAAACATATTTTGGATTGTTGACTGGAACGGCATTATAATTACCGTAATAATCATTTGTTGTATTATCAAATGTGTAGAGAACAGATTCGCCACCCTGACCACCTGGAGCATGAGTTATTGCACCTGAAACTGAGCAGCCGACGGCTAATGATGAAGACACAGAAAAGTTGAGGTAAATAAAAGAACATTAATCTCTCTCTCTATTTCTTACTGGTGGTAGTTGTTGTTGTCGTCGTAGATGTTGTAGAAGTTGAGCTCGTTGATGTCGAGGAGGTTGAGCTTGATGACGTTGAGGAGGTTGAGCTTGATGATGTCGATGAGGTAGAGGTGGACG